CAAGCCCTAGAAAAACAAGGAAAAGGGTTTAAAATCATTGGATAAAAATAGCAAGCAAAAATTACAGATTGGATCCAATCTTTCAATTGTATGATCCGATTCAATATTCGTTCAACAAGAAGAAAGAGGATTACGTAATCATCTCACCATCGGTAGGGACAAAGACCCAAATAAACGGCGGAGGAAGAGTTACCTTTGAAATTAATTCGTTGTCCAATTGGTTGCTGCTTTCCGATTCCCATTTCCGATGCGGTTTCAAAATCAAAGACGCCGCTCAGAATCGAATTCCACAAACCAACACGACTTTAGAAAACAACTTCTTTCCGTTTTTATTCAGCGAAATGGTTTTGGAAGCTGGTTCAAATCCGATAGAGACCATAAAACACCCCGGCGAGTTTGACACAATGTTGAAAACGGTTCTGTATCCCAAAAACTACGATTCAGTTTCGGGATGGATTCCCGATGTCGGTGACGGAGAAGTTTTAAAAGAACCGGTCAGAACTGTAGCAAATGACGCAGACCTTGCTAGGATAAGGGTAGTTGCTAGAAACACACTGGAAAGAGTGACTCGCGGAGTAAATCACGGATTTGAAAAATGAGCGCTTCAATACAACAATGTTGTCGAGAACAACAGATGGGGTAATTACGTTAATTGGAAGTTGTATCCTTTATTTGGTCTCTTGGAACACAGAAAGGTTTCCATAGGTTTACCGTATAAAATTCATTTGCAAAGAGAAATCAACGACAACAAGATATTCTTTGGTGAAAACAACTCTGACGCAAAATTGGAAACAACGAATATCCAACTTTACATACCGGTAATCACTCCTTCCGTAGAAGTGGAAACGAGAATATTCAACTCTTTAACCAAAGACATCGAAATTGCTTTTCTTCGTCGTAATACGGTAGGTAGCATGACTTTAACTGGGGAATCCACCACGTGGCCAATCACCAACACCGTCAAACCAGCGAGATATCTAATGGTCGGTTTCAAAAACTTGCCAGACTCTCAGACAAACAACAACAACATTTTCAGAGTGGCATTGAACCATACTCAAGATCCCATCATTCGCAAAGTTCAAGTCAGATTGAACAACGATAATTATCCCAATCAACCTTTGACAATTGATCCTTCCACAAAAGATTACAACGAATTGTACAGAAACTATAAAAACATGTGCGAATTGTTTGGAAATACGTCTCGGTTTGAATTCACAGATTTTTCACTCAATCATCCAATCTTTTGTTTCGATCTGTCAGCTCATCAACAAGATCTTTTAATAACAGGGGTAAACATAAATATTCACATCGATAAAACACAAGGAGATGTGACCGGCTACTGTTTATTGCTGGAAGAAGCAAAACATTTGATTAAAATATCAGATAGAAGAATGATAAGAATTGAATAAAAAAAACACCCTTTAAAAATGAAACCATAAACTTTAGTTATGAAAATAATAGAAGCTATTGAAACGAATTCGCCGACTCTAATAACTTACAACGGTAAAAAAGTGCATATAACCCAAAAGATTATCGATAAATACAAACATTGCAAAGTCAGAGACGATATAGACTTGGAAAGAATTGATGAGAATTTAACTAAAAAAGGTGGATTTTTACCTTTCTTACCTTTAATCTTTGCTGGTTTAGCTGCAGCTGGTGCAACTGCTGGTGGAGCTGCTGGGATAGCCAAAGCTGTCAACGATAAGAAAGCTGAAGCCGCTGCAAACGTCGAAGCACGTAGACACAATTTGGCAATGGAAAGAGAAGCACGAGGAGGTTCGGGAGTAGGAGATATATTAGGGACGGTTAAAGAATTCGGACAAAGATTTGGCGAAGAAACCAAGAAAACCGTTAAAGAGGGATTAAGCAAATTAATAGATAAAATCGACACTGGAGAAATGAAGGTCAAACACAAGGGCAACGCCATATTTTTTAAAAACATACGTTCGGGCGAGGGAATCTTCCTTTCAAAGTATAAAGGCAACGGAGTGATTTTTGATACGAAAATGTAATAAATAAAAATGGGCAAGAAATTCAAACATTCGGACATATTTCCTAGTAACCCAATGCTCATGTGTATTTGCGGTAGTTCAGGTTCTGGGAAAACTCATCTCACTTTTAACATGTTGACAACACCAAACCTTTTAGATTTCGATTCTCTGTATATCTACACAACAACACCAGAGCAATCGTATTATCAATTCCTCAAAGCTTTAGAATATTTACCAAAGAAAGACGTTCAAGACATATTTCAATATTACGAAGAAAACGAAGAAGAAGTGGAAATAAAAGATATCATAGAAAACTTCATTAAATCAAAGAATCCATCTTTCAATCCAACGGATATAAAAGTTTTTCTTACGTAAAATGTTAATGATCTAGACTTGTCTAATATTGATAGCAATCGAAAGAACTTAATATTGTTTGACGACTGCGTAGCGCAAAGAAATCAAACTGTTCAACAAGAATTCTTCACCAAAGGAAGACATCACAATTGTCACTGCATATACCAATCCCAATCTTTTTACGGGATGGATTCTATGTTCATTAGAAAAAATGCAAATTGTTTTTTATTATTTGAATTAAATGATAAAGATTTATCTCAAATCATTCAGTCTATAAATCACGGAATGGATAGAGATACATTTAAAAAGGTTTGTAAAGCTCAATGGAGAAACCCAGATGATCATGGATATGTATTTGTAAATACTATTAAACCTGCGGAAGAAAGAGTTATGATCGATATATGTTAATTTTATTTTTTTAAAAATGACGGATTGGAATAATTTTTTAAAAAGAAATAGAGAATATATCAAAGCTAAGAATAAAATAAAGACCCAAGTTGAAAATAACAGATTGCAACAACTCGGATTAACGGAAAATCTACAGACTCTATTTCAACCCATATTAAAAAGTCAAGAAGATAATAAAAAGAACTCACCCCTCGTATAGAACCCAAAGCGATTGAATATAATGGTATTATAATTAAGACATTAGATGATATAAAACGTCTTTTTTCAAACCCTGACCCAGATTTACCAAAGAGCATTTCACCAATCGTTGATGATGAGGGTTTGTTGTTTAATGGTTTTAGAATAAGATTTAGTGGAAATTCACCACAATTCAAAATCGACACAAAAGACTTTATATTTACATTAACGAGAGGGTTAATAGATTTAATGAATGGCGAGGATGTTGAAATTGCCGATTACAAGGATTTAATAGCATACTCAAAATTTCTACATGCGATCAGAAAGTCAGGACCCGAAACAAGAAGATTGAAAGAAGTTGATTTATATATAACAAAAGTTATTGAGCAAGAGGAGGTAGATGATTATGCAGAAGATTATCCACCAATCATACAAGAAATAGACGAAATCGATGATATGGTGGCATCTGGACAAGGTATAACGTTTTTATCCGACAACAATAAAGAATTGCTTAATAGATTAGAAATAATATTAGCGGCCATGAAGGAAGGTCATCGATCGGACAGACAATACAACGAAGTCAATGGCATATTAAAACGGCTTTTGGAGAAAAAAATCATCACTAAAAAAGACTATATAAATGTCATTAAAAATGTCCAATAAAGAACAATTGTTCGTTATCACCTCGAATAAATCAGACATCGAATTGTCTCTAGACTACGAGTATGAACTCGATCACAATAAACAGTACGAACTGGGATTAAAGTATTTCTCCGTTTACAATTCCATTAGAAACATCAACGAAAGAAACAATCAACTAAAAATATCGACGGATAACGGAGTTACTTTCAAAACCATAAGCTTACTAGCGGGAAGCTACGAATACGTGGCCATCAACGATTACCTATCCGAATACGCAGGAAGCGTGAACGGCAAAAACAATATCGAATTCGAAGGTAATTTGAATCAGAACAAAATAAAACTTATCTTGAGAAATAACAGTCAAGTCGATTTCAACGTAGAAAATTCGTTGAATGCGTTACTAGGGTTCGATAAACGAATATACGCGCAATCGACATTGGCGCCGCACAAGGCCAACATCGAGAACGACATCGACGTGATCAACATTCACTGTAATTTGATCAACGGTGGGTTTTTCAACAAGCACAAACGCCAAATCATATACAGCATACCGACTTTTACGGTGCCGATCGGATACAGAATTATAGAGAAACCGTTTCAAACGACCTATTTACCAGTCAATTCTTTCATGATCAAAGATATAAATCTGGAAATCAAAGACGGTAAAAACAGGTTCATAGACTTTGGCAACGAAGAAATTGTCATTCAACTTCATTTAAAACAATCTTCATTCTCTTCTTGAATAGTAAGATAATCGAAATCATCAAATTCATAGTTTTCGTCAAAACTATACTCATCTTTATCGTTGTAAGGATACATAATTCCTTCACTGTTTGGTGGTTTTCTTTTTACAATTATTCAAATAACTCTAAAAACTTTAGTTTGTTTATCATTTGGAATAACTACTCCATTGGTGAAACTTTTTTCCCATGGTTTATTAAATTCGTTCGACATATCATGTCCGCTTGCTAACTGAACGTAATCTTCTACACTTATCTTATCATTAGAATAACCTTTAAACGTTTTCTTTTCTTTTAAAACACCATCAGAAGTCAAAACGATGTTGTAGTTGACTTTTGGTGCTAAACATAAACCAAATATATTCCACCGTCACCGTAATCGTTTTTACCTTTGCAATAGTCTTTTTCGGAGACCAAACCAGCTCTGTTTAGTTTTTTCCAATTTTCGGATGAAATGTACAAACTATCGGTGTCGGTATAGTATATTTCGGGTTTATAAAATCTATTTATGACGTGAATGAAATTGTTCATTATTGTTTTACTGTGAGATAAAACGAATGATCCCAAATGACTAGGTGTTAGTCGTGTAGATTTACTATCTTCGATAGTAATCTCTTTTTCTTCAATTTCTGTTTCAACAATATATTGAGTATCATTAATTTTCTCATAGGTTTTAACGCGTGAATCAAAAGTTGGCCTGTAAAGTTGCTTCATTCCATAAATGTCTAGTTGTGAATATATCTTTCTGAATTGATTTACCATACAAGGAATTACCTAATAATTTCATGCAATTACTACCCACGATATTACCTTCTCGTTTATATTTATTTCTTAAATCTCTCAAAATTAAAATATAATCTCTATAGGGTGGAGTTTTAAAATTTTCTTCGTAAACTATACCATCTAATATTCTAATAATTCGTCCACCGGCTTTCACTATTTCTTGAATATCGACCGATGTTAAAACGTCGTGACAGAAACCATTTCTGAACCTGATTTTGTTACCAGTTTCCTTTTTACCTTCTTTATTCGTGAAAGTGATTTTATCT